CTGACTGTTCGGCCCGTACCCGGACCGGCCCGACCCGTGGCCCGGGACGGCCCAACGGCTAGTCGGTATGGGCAGGGCGCGGCTCTGACAGGTTGACGGGTCGGTCCGGTTGACCCGGCCCGACCCGTCAAATAAAAAAAAATAAAAATAAAAATAGAAACCGTTGCCGGCGGTCGGCTCGTGACCTGACCCTGACCGGACCGGACCGCTGGGACCAATTTTTTTTTTTTTAACCTGGATCAAACCGCGACCCTTGCGGTTCGATCCTACGGACCGGCCCTTATGTGGCCGGTTACGGGCCGGTTCTGGTCGGTTTGGTACCGGTTTTCGGTCCGGGTCGCGGGCCGAGCCATGCCTACCTAGCTGTGATATCGATTATTAATTTAGCTATACTCCAAACTGATTTTATTCTCCATTGCATGGCGTTGGCGGATATATTGTCCTCATGACACTTAATTATGGCTAAGATCATTTTTCTGCCAACTAAGTTTAGTTTAAGCGTAGGTGTCCTCATCAGACAAGAGATAAGTTTTGAATTCATTTTCACGCCTGATTAAGATTAGTAGGTAAGGATAATGGCTTTTATTATATTTTTCTTCTTCAAGTGTTATACTGATATGAGTTTATATCTATATATATTTCTTTCTGCTTCGTTCGCAGACAATGACGGGAGGAATTCGAGTTTTCTTCAACCTTCAGATCATATTTCACTCCTCTACATAATAAATTGATTCCTCTATTTCATAATTCTAGAAATATTTCGAACTTCTTCCCCGAGTATAACCTTGACCTAGCTCAGGTTAGCAGCAGCTGACGATAGTTTTTTCAGAGGCCAGGTTTTTTAGCCATTCTTTGAAGGAAAAAATGAAATATAGCCACATTTTCTAAAAGAATGAAATATAGCCATTTTAGGGGTTAAAAATATAATTCTACCCTTATTAATGGGTTTTTTTCAACTACTATAAAAAAGGAAAAAGAGTCATCACTTTCACTGCCAACAACAATAACACATCTCCACTAGCTCTCTTTCTCTCTCTTCCTAGGGTGATTTGGGTTTTTTTTTCAGTCATTTGGTCTGAATTCTTTCCGGCAATCGAATTTCGTAGCTGTTTTTGAGCGTTTTTTTTTTTACTTCCTCTCTGTTTCTCTTCTTTTCTTCTCTCAATTCTAATTTTCCAGCAAAAACTCTCAAAGGTAAATTCTCGTTTCATCTCAGAAATTAGGGCTTTTCAAGTTGCTTAAAAGTAATCGCGATGGAGGTTTTTGGGGCCGATGGTTGTACGGGAATTTAGGGCGTCTTATCTCCCCTGCTTTTGGTGTTAGGTTTCTTGTAGTTTTGGTGTTTGTTCTCTGTGAAATCCATGGATCCTGAAGAAGTTGTGAAACTTTGTAACCTCTTCGATTAGACCAGGACGAGTTCTGTAAAATTAGGCAGCAGAATATCTCATTCAAAACTTTTTTTTTCATGCCTAGAGAATGCACTTGATGTGGTACATTTTTTAAATTAAGTCGAAGATAAATATTTAACTGAAAGCAACAAATTAAAATATGCTTTCTTGTCATCTATTAATTACTCTAAAAAAAATAAAAAAATAAAGGTGAACAAATACGATTCAGGCTGGAAAAAACAATTGTTCGAGGAAGGATTATTCTACGAGGGCAGTGAAGAACTCGAGTTCGATGTGTTGAAGAAGCTCGAAAAGCGGAAAGGTCCTGAGCTCTGTCGAGAAATTCGGCCTCCTCTCGAAAGCCGAGGAGCTCGGTTTTACCCTCTCATCAATAGAAAAACTCGGCCTTTTGTCCAAGGCCGAGGAGCTCGGCCTCTTGAGCCTGCTCAAGAATTCTGTCGGATTCTCTCCCTCAGCCTTGGCCTCGATGGCTCTGTCGGTTCTGGTGGCGGCTGTGGCTGTGGTCGTGTTAGTTCCCGACGACTCGGTGGTGCTTGTGGCGGCTCAGGCAGTGGTTGCCGGATCTCGGGCTGTTTGTTTGTGGGGTCCATCATGCTCGATGGGCTACAAATCTGTCAAGAACCAGTTTCTTGAGCAAGAAACTTGTTTCTTATTTCTTGAGCTCTGAAACTGGTTTCTTGAGCAAGACACAGGTTTTTCTTGAAACTTGTTTCTTCCTCAAGTAACTTGTTTCTTGCTCAAGAACCAGTTTTTTTATTGAAACATGTTTCTTGAGCAAGAAACATGTTCCTTGTTTCTTACTTCGCTTCAATTCAAAGTTTAGTCTTTCTTTTTGTTTTTATACTGAGTTGAGCATTGTTTTGTTTTGTTATGGGTAGAAGTTGGCAATTCTTGGTTTCAATTGAAACATCAATATTACAGAAAAATTCTTATTAGTATTCATAAGTATTTTGTTTGTTGAAATTCATTTACATTATAAAAAAAAAATTAAAACAAAATAAAACACTAACAAATGAGCAAAAAATTCAGTTTATATATTTGCATATTTCCAAAATGAACAGACAATACAGAACAGTATACACACAGAGACGAGATACAGAAGCTAAAATGCAAGAGAATATGAACTCAGACTTTTATGTAAACCATTGACTACAGTTAAAGTTTAAGAAGTGTTTCTTGATTTAGAAATAACTACAGTTTCTTGGTCAAGAAACAATTTCTCCATAAACGAGTTTCTTGAACAAGACACTTGTTTTTTGAAAAAGAAAACAGGTTTCTTGAACAAGAAACAAAAAACTTGTTACTTGTTCAAGAAACCTGTTTTCTTATTCAAGAAACATGTTTCTTATTCAAGAAACTTGTTTCTTTAATGTTAAAATAACAATAATCATTTTTCACTTTACACTGCTTGTTAAATTCAATCCAAAAAAACTCGAAGGAAAGAAAAAATGAATTATATGTTTTGGAATATTCTATGAATGACTGGACCCGACGAACAAGAAACAAACAAACAATTGTAATAGTACAAAATAAGACGAACAAGAAACAAACAAACAATTGTAATAGTAAAAAATGAATAAAAACGAAACAAATTAATGAAAATAAACTATAATCTCCATTTTACTGGAGCAACACATTAACTTTAGCTATCGAAAAGATAGTTCTGGAGTGTAGAATATGTTATTTCTCTTCATGATATACAAGTCCCAAATCACCACTGCCATTAATATGTTTAGTAAATAACTATCCTAGAGTTCTAAATACAACTTAAACAAGTGAAGAATTTGAGCTGAAGTTCAGTCGCGAGCTACGATTCTTCTCGCCATCACCGGAGATGATGAGTTTCAAGCAGGCTAGTTATGTTTCAGCGAAGGTGAGCTCTTTTCAGCGAGCAGCAGGTCCTCTCAGACGTGGCCGGAGAAGAAGAACAGAAATCATCAGGATGTTCTTCAATTTTTCAATATATTATGAGTTCGTTTCATGTCTCGTCTTCGGGTAGCCATCGGCTCTTGTTAAGCATGTCGAGTATTAACGAGAGTGCTTTCTGGAAAGTACGAGAAGAGTAGAAGCCGTTCGTGGCATTTATTTCGCATTTCGAGGTCTCGAGCATTTATTTTGAGAAGCTCGAGTTCGAGTGTGCAAATTAAGAAACAAAGAAAAAGCCGATTACATGGGCCCCGCAAGGTCGCGTGTGATTTCGGTTTGCCAAGAAATAAGTTGGGACGTGTAGACCTTATTGGCACGATTCCATTTGAGCTATTTTTCGAGTATTTCGGGGCTCCGAGTATTTAATTAGAGGAACCCGAACTTCACGTAAAAATAGTAGAAAATGAGCGAATTGTCGAGGACAAGTTCGAGTATGCGAGGCTTCTTTTTTCTCGATTCTTTCAGTTTCTCGTTTCGAGAGGATGTACAACCTTAATTATCTTTTTTTTTTTATATAATTTCAAGTTTAGTTTAAAGGATTAATTAAAGTCATTATAATTATGAGATAAATATATGAATTAAAAAAATTCATAAGATGAGTTATTTAAGTGATATTGAGCTGAAATTCGAGCAGTAAGTACACAAGTATATATGCTATTTAAATGTCAAGTTTCATAATTTTTAGAGTTATGTGTGATTTTTGAAAAATTATAGAGTTTTGAGAATTTGTTTAATTCAATTTTAATTGAATTAAATTATGAAATTTGTTTGGGATAAAATCCTTTAGTAGATATAGTCATATATAAGTTGAGTAACCAGAATATGTTTCAGTTCGATTAAGTTAAACCGGTTCGGCCAGCAGTTCAAGTTATTTTTTGTTCGAGTATTTTGGTTTGAGTCTTATTCCGAAATTTAAGTATTTTTCGAGCCAAACCAGTTCAGTTAAGTAAATCTGTTGTAATTTCGGACTTAGTAATATTTTTCAGTGAATCATTAAATTGATATTAAAAATTTGGATAAGTTATCTGATAGAGTCGAGCATCCTAGTATTTTATTGAGCATATGAGCATAATACTTAGTATATTTGTTTATATTTTTCTGTGAGTGTGGACACGTACCCGATCAGATATCTGCCAGTTTACAGATTCAGTTACAGTTACCGATCAGATATCAGTTACCGGTCAAATACCGGTAAAGAAAAGTTTATGATATCTCTATTACAGTACTCATCCCCATAAGTTTTATTTTCAGGTAACAGGGTCGATGAGGAGGTGTGAAGTGCGGGTGATGGTCGTGGACTCAGACTGTGGCAAGCTTTTACGTGGACATTTATAACAGTCTGTATAATATATTTACACGCTTTTCAGATTCCGATACGTATTTCAAGTTCAAACTGCATGTTAAGTATTTTCAGATTTTAACCATTTCAACAGTACGAACATGGTCTAATTTTACATGCATGTTTGGTTAAATCTGTTTTTTTTATGTATACATCAGTATTAGACCAAGTTTAAAGAAAAACGAATTTCCAAAAAAGTTTTAGTAGCATCCCGAGTTAAGTTCCAAAGATTTCAAGAAATTTATAAGTATTTTCGAAGTAAAAGTTGCGAAAAATTTACTCTGATAAGCGGAGTGTTACAACTATCATTCGAGAAATGCGAACGTAGTTGTCGACGCCCTCAGCCATAAGGGAAGGGGCGAGCTGACCTGCATGATCACTCAACAGCGTCAGTTGATTCGAGAGTTCGGTCGGATGCAACTAGAAGTGGTCGATTCACTTCCTCAGTCAGAGTCGAGGGGGAATGTCAGTTCTTTGAGAGTGAGGCCCACACTTCGAGATGAGATCCGGCAGAGTCAGCCTTCGGACGAGTTCACTCGTTCGACAGAGGCAAAGCTTCGTGCCGACGGAGTGAGGGTTTTGAGCGAGGCACGGAGGGTGCCTTGGAGTACAAGGGAAGGATCGTTGTGCCGGATGTCGAGACCTTGAGAAAGGAGATCTTGGCAGAGGCGCACAGTGCTCCATACTTGGAGCACCCCGGTAGCACCAAAATGTATCACGACTTGAAAAGGTCGTTTTGGTGGAGGGGCATGAAGCGAGAAGTCGCCGAGTTTGTTGAGAAGTGCTTGGTTTGCCAGCAAGTGAAGGCCGAGCATAAGGTTCCACCAGGACTCTTACAGCCTTTAGAGATTCCACAGTGGAAGTGGGAGAAATTGACCATGGATTTTGTCACGGGATTACCGATGTCACCCGAGCACCACCACGGGGTATGGGTTGTAGGGGACCAGCTTACGAAGTCAGCCCACTTTAGGCCCATTAGGATGGACATGTCCATGGAGCAGTTAACCGAGACGTACCTTCGTGGAATCATTCGACTTCACGGCGTTCCTGCCGAGATTATATTAGATCGAAATCCCAGATTTACTGGCCACTTCTGGGAGAGTCTAAACGAGTCCATAGGTACGAAGATGAAGTTTAGCTCCGCATACCACCCACAGACCGACGGACAGTCGGAATGGACCATTCAGACGCCTGAGGACATGCTCCGAGCTTGTGTTCTCGAACAGATTAAGTCACATATACATGAAAATTGACGAAAAGTTAATTTTTGAAATTCACAACTCAATTTGGAAACCTAAACATGAACCTGCACCAATTTTCAGCATGCATGATGAATTTAAAATGCATGTAGCTTTCAGTCTACAAATCATGTCATGATGTAACCACTTGAAAAATATCCATAACTCATGCCTCTATTACTTTCATGAAGTAAACTCAGGTAGATAAAGTCATTTAAATGCACATAATATAGCAAACATCCAAAACATAGGTGAAGTGGATAAATGAAGACATACAGCTTGACAGGTCCTCAGTGTATGCAAAATAACCGAAGCTACAGACATGATATTACTGAAATTCAAAAACCTTAAGGTAGATAACTCAATTCCCTACCATGTTCCTGAAGACCCTATTGGTAAATAATGATATTATCAACGAGTTTAAATATAAAACATTCAGTTCATAAACACAGCCAAAGAACAACTTTTCGAATATACAGCACCTTAGTAAAATGTCAACAATATAAGCTACACAAGTCCAATTCATACAAACTCAAATCCTACAGAATCTACACATATAAATATACAATTTTTATGAAGAGAACTTGTTCATACAAATACGTTTGGGTTATCAAAACAGAGCACACATTCAACACTTAAACACAATCCTGGTTTCATAAAAACTGGGTGTACATCCCATTTAGAAAAATTATATAAAATCAACTGGAACTCCAAATTGCATGATTCCAATTCTTACAGGCAGCTTACAACATATACTACATTTGTCATGAAGAATAAATTTTCATGCAGGTACGTTAAGGTCATCAAAAACAGCCCTGAACTAAGATCAAAGTTTATGTCCAAAAGTATAAGCACACTTCATGCATATCCTACTACAATTTAACACAAACCGAGCTACAGTCCTCATACCAGCATGAATTTTACCTCATTACAAATCTTAGAAATAGACCTACAACTTTCAGGAATATCACATTTTCATTTGAGCATATTAAGATGCAACAAACAGGTAAAACATTTAACATGAACTCGCTGCCGGGTTTTGTTTAAAACTGCTCGTGTAATATTTTGGTAAAAATCATAACTCACTCGTTTCAAATCGTAATTTTGAAATTTGAAAACTCACAAAACTACAACAGAATAAGATACAATTCATGTGAAGAACAC